TGTTGCAAAGTATGCCTTTAAAAAGAGGCTGGTGCTTGGCATCATCGTTTCTCTTCTGTGAACCATGGTTATCGCTAAAGAAACATGTGCCGTCATCATTGCACTGCCCAAAAATGGCCTAACAGGAAAAGAGAATCACAGCTAGAAAGATTGCACCTCAGTCAAAAATCTTGCGCATCATCAAGAACTTCAAGGAGAGAGGTTCCATTGTTGCCAAAAAGGCTCCATGGCGCCCAAGAAAGACCAGCAAGCTCCAGGACCGTCTATTAAAAGTGTTTCAGCTGCGGGATCGGGCTACCAGCAGTGCAGAGCTTGCTCAGGAATGGCAGCAGGCAGGTGTGAGTGCATCTGCACGCACTGTGAGGCGGAGACTCTTGGAGCAAGACCTGGTCTCAAGGAGGGCAGCAAAGAAGCCACTTCTCTCCAGGAAAAACATCAGGGACAGACTGATATTCGGCAAAAGGTGCAGAGAGTGGACTGCTGAGGACTGGGGTAAAGTCCTTTTCTCTGATCAATCCCCTTTTTGATCGTTTGGAACATCTGGAAAACAGCTTGTTGGGAGAAGACAAGGTGAGCGCTACCACCAGTCTTGTCACATGCCAACTGTAAAGCATCCTGAAACCATTCATGTGTAGGATTGCTTTTTAGCCAAGGGAGTCGTCTCTCTCACAGTCTGACCTGAAAACACAGCCATAAAAAAAGATGGTGCCAGAATGTCCAAGAGCAGTTTGGTGATGAACAACGCCTTTTCCAGCATGATGGAGCACCTTGCCATAAAGCAAAGGTGATATCTAACTGACTCAGGGAACAAAACATAGAGATTTTGGATCCATGGCCTGGAAACCCCCCTGATCTTAATCCCATTGAAAACTTGTAGTCAATCATCAAGAGACGGGTGGACAAACGAAAAACTTAGGAATTCTGACAAAATGCTAGAATTGATTGTGCAAGAATGGACTGCTATCAGTCAGGATGTGTCCAGAAGTTGATTCAGAGCATGAAGAAGAGGGGTCAACACTGCAAATATTGACTTGCTGCATTAACTCATTCTGTCATTAAAAGCTTTTGTTACTCATAATATGACAGCAATTGTATTTCTGTATGCGATGACAACATCTGACATACACACATGAAAACCAGAGGGCAGCAGATTATGTGAACATATAATATTTGTGTCATTCTCAATACTTTTGACCATGACTGTATGGATTCTATTTTAAACATAAAATGGATGTGAGAAACAACCAGTGATGGGACTAACGGCGTTACCTTGTTTTAGTAACGAGTAATCTAACTAATTACTTTGACTGTAACTATAACGCAGTTACCATTGCAGGCACCCCGTTACTGCGCGTTACTCAGGTCGCACAATGAACCTTTTTTCATGATAGGACTCGTGCGCAGCTGCGTGAAGCTGACACCCCACCCACGTCAAAAAACTCTGCAAATAGACTGAATGGTTAGTGCAACGTTAGTGCAGATTTGTGCAGAAAAAAATATTGTTTGTGCTACTTTTGTTTAAGAGATATTAAAGATTATTTTAGGTCATCCAGAGGTGCGCGCTTTGTCATGAGAGAGGGGAGGATGAGATTCCGTCTGTCAGTTGAATAGGTGGGTGTTTCTGCTGGTGGGTGTTAACGTACAGCACACACAGAGAGATGGAGAGTGAGGATGACTCCAGCAGCAAAACAGCGTTTTCCACATGGAAATACCGGTGCTACGTAGAGCTGCGTTTCCCCATCACATAACGGTTTCCTCTGCATCTCCACACAGCGCAGGCGGCAAGAGTCACCGCGTAAGCGACAGGAAACGCGCATGCTCGCTAAAGGCGCGCAACAGTCGCCCTGTGCTCGCGCCACAGGAGAACTATGGAGAGCGTGAAGGATCAAATGAACCTGACAACAGCCAGAAATGATAGCCTATATGGAGAAAGGGAGAAATCTGGATGGATGGATGGATGGATGGATGGATGGATGGATGGATGGATGGATGGATGGATGGATGGATGGATGGATGGATGGATGGATGGATGGATGGATGGATGGATGGATACTCTGCCTTCTCAACCTACTGTTTTTTTTATTTTAAACATTATTTGATGGCCTTTGTGGCAGGGATGGAGATCCATATTTTATGTCACACACAGAGTATAGATCTAGATAGATAGATGGATAGATAGATGTTGCAGTATCTATAACAACCCAAACACACAGGATTTCAGAATTAGACATCCCCAGTTATTAATTTCATATACTCACCGGATCTGAATGTCCTGTTATAAAACTTCACATGGCGTTCCCCCCTGATGTCATTTACGTTGAGTTGCAATAAATGCTAAACTGTCTGCAGGTTCTTGTCTTTGTCGTCCGCTCTATTCAGCTGGCTTTGGAAACACACGGCGAGAAGGTGGGGGCCGGGTGGTGAGGTTTACGGGGGCGAGAAACGCAAAAGTAACGCAATAGTTACTTTTACTAGTAACTAGTTACTTTTATTGTGGAGTAACTCAGTTAGTAACTCAGTTACTTTTTGGGAGAAGTAACTAGTAACTATAACTAATTACTTTTTCAAAGTAACGTGCCCAACACTGGAAACAACCAACATTTGATGTGGGACTCTCCAAAGCATTTAAACTTTTCTACTTTTAGCACCACATCATGGACTCCATCTACAAAGAGAAAGATTTCTTGTTCTTGTTTGTTTCCTGTTTTAGTACAAAGATAAATTACAGTCTAGGTACCAACTTCTTCCATCTACTGTATTTATGTTACAGAAGTGCAAAATGCCTGCAAACATTCAGCTCCATACATGCATGCGGTTGCACTTCGCTCATCTCATTTGCACCTCTTTCTATGCTCAAAGTAATAATGAGACTGAAAGAGGCCAGAACAACAGGAGGTAAAACAGGCCTAGAAGGAAACCCAGAGCAAAATCAGCTACTCCTCACATGCACAGCTGACAGAACGGTGATACAACCACAGATGGAACAGGCGCACATGTTTTCACACAAACACGAGTACTCTGTGTTCTGATGAGACACATGGCTGCTGCATCCCTATTGATCTGTGACCATAGAAACCAGCTGGCCGTTGCCATGGACTATAGTGATGGTGGGACGTCAGATTCTTGTTTTTCTTTTCATTCATCCCGATATGAAGCTGATATAAATGCTTAACGTTTCGTTCTTTTCAGTAAAACAAAGGAAGCTTAAATCTCGTAATCCTTCTTTTTTTTTCTCTTTATCTGTCTGATCTTTAACGTCCAGCCACATCCTCGTCCTGTCCGTTCTGAAACAGAGTCAGGGAGAGGACGGAAAAACAGCCTTCCTGCAAAGATGACCTAAACCGGATCAGATGAGCCGCAGTCTCTGTGAAAGTGTGACAGCTGGTGGGAGAGAATACGTGAAAGAAAGATGGAGAGGGAGGAAGATGAGGGGAGGAGATGATGCTTAATCTGACAAACACATGAGAATAAGGGCGGGGGGCAGGGGTCATCCCAGGTCATGTGTGTTTAACTCGCCTTCTTTTTTTGTTTTGAGAAGAAATGCATCATGTATGTCACCAACGGGTCAAAAGTTAATCTTCCATAAGCAGAACACCAGATAAACAGAGAAGCAAGAGCTGAAAGCATTTTCTTCTCCACGATGCTGTCCATAGGGGGTGCTACCAAGGAATGTTTAATTCCCTATCAGACCACTATCTCCACTGTATCCTCGCTCTCAGAGATTCAGGGCCTTCCTTGCGGTTCTCTTGTTGGTTTTCTCTCATATGATGTGGAAATGTGTTAATTACTCCCCTGTACTGACTTTGGGGACACCTTCACACTAGATTTAGACCTCAGCATGCCTGTTAGTGTTTCAGCATGAGCAACTGCCAGATGCATCCTGTGGTAGCAGCTGTGCCTCCAAAATTTCGTATTTGGCGTGTCAATAGGCTAGAGCGTACATAATACAAATACACATTCTTTAAAACACACCTTAACAACTTTAATGCTCGTTTTGAGAGAGGGAGCACTACAGCTGCAACCAAGGCAGCCAATACCCCAGACCAGCAGCCACTGACTCTCATCTCAGGATTAAAGCCCACAATGTAAGGGTCAGAACATAAGGACCCAGTTTTCAAGGGGGAGAAACAGTTAGGTTTAACAAATGTTTATTTAAGATGGAACTATAGAGAACAGCGACGGCATCTAAGGCATGAACCTCTGCTCTTAAAAATCAGTCGGTGCCCAGAGGTTGAGTTTGGTTCCAGCCATTTGGTTGCCAACAACACGTAGCAACAGCAGGCACTTTTTTGCTGCACAAAGAACATACGGTGTGAATGTAGCATGAAGTTTCAGAATGCAACTCCATTCTGCACTGCCCAAGATCCATCAATGACCTTCTTTGTTCTTAGTTTTCCAATGTTGTAGCATCATCTTTACTTAGAGAGTTAATTAAACATGATTTATTATTGTTAGTTTATCATTTTGTGTTGGAAAAAATTTGATATTTCATCATCATCATCATCAGCTCTGCTTCTGTCTCCTTGAACCCCAGTCGGCCTCAGCAGATGGCCGCTCACACTGAGCCTGGTTCTGGTTTCAGGTTTCTTCCTGTTAAAAGGGAGTTTTTTCCTCTCCACTGTCGCTACAAGCATGCTTAGTGTAAGGGATTGTATTTGAGTCAATGAGTCGATGCAATCAACTGGTTTTCCTTAGATAGAAAACTTTGAATCAGTTTGACTGTATTATCTGTTTGAACTGTAAAGTGCCTTGAGATGACATGTGTTGTGAATTGGTGCTATATAAATAAACTGAATTGAAATTGAATTGATATTTTTTAAATTTTTATAGCAATATTTTAGCAAAACTATCTTCTTTAATTATCTTAGCCGCTTAGTTCTTTTAAGGAACTGTAAGTGACAGGCTACATTTAGTATCTCACTTTCTATTAAATGCAGCATATTCAGGTCAGCATTAACTGATCTGTGGCACTGATATGATTCTGCTGGAATTTTTGGCAGATTCTCGAGCTGACCGGGCTGACAGACGGAAGCTCTTCAGACATTACACTGTGGGCTCATACGACAGCTTTGATGCCTCCAGGTGAGTCTCACAAACACGCCTGTCCTCCTGCATGTCAAAATTCTATCATCGTGTAGATCACCACCTGTTGATTGTTGTCTCATCACCTGCTGGCCTAATCAGGTTTCCTCTTCCTCCTGCTCCTCAGAAAAAGGAAAATTTGTTGCAAATGTGAGATTTAACCAAGTTGTTTTGGCTTCAGTGAGTGAAGAGTTTTGTCTAATCATGCCTGACGTTGAATCCCGCGGTTCCTTCTCATGAGGTGTTGTGCGGAGGTCTTTTCTCCGCTGCTGTCAGATCCACTTTAACAGAAGTTTCAGAAGGAATGAAAATCAATGCATTCTTGTCTGGTTCAGAAAGCGACTTGAATCCAGGGACTATTTTTTCTGTTTAAAAGAAGCAGTTAATCTGATGATGAATCTCTTCCAGTTGCTTGTGCGAACAAGTGAAAACCTGGTCACGTGTGCCAAGCTGATCTTCGAGGCACAGAGATCAGGCAAAGGTAAAGAGTTTTTAACCTGACTCCGCCAGATGGATTTGCTCCGCATATCCATCTGGAAACCTTCCATAGAAGTAATTTTGGGAAGGGGCGAAAATACTGGTAAGCTGATTGGCCTATGTTGGTGATAGACGGGCCAAATAAACCAATCAGATCAACGAAGCATATGACGTACTAACAGAGCGACGACGAAGAGGAGCCAATTGATAGATCAAACTCTTGCTGAAACCAGTCGGGAGAAGAGCAGAAACATCTTTTCCTCTGAGAAAAGCCTCCAGAGCAGTGTTTTGCTCTTCTTTCAGTGAAGAAATACTCTGTAATTCCGATAAAGCTTGCTCGATAGCCACGCTAACGCTAGTTTCATCGGCTGAAGCCGCCATGTTCTTTAGACTGAACTGTTGCGCTTCTCGTTGCGTCACACCTCAACCTGCCCCAAAGCCAACGCTGATTGGACGTTCGTTTGGTGAACGGCTCCAAATTTTCTTTAACGGAGAGTCTCCAGACTGATTAGCGAGTGAAATCTTGAAAGCTCACGTGATCAGGATGGTCTCACGAGGCTAGTTTTACCTTAGCTGAATTAAGTAAGGTCTATGCAGGTCTCACTCTACTTATTAAAGGGCCCAGGTTTTTGGGTGGAGGATATTTAAATCGACACTTTGCACCCGAAATACGATTTATTAACCCTGAAAGTGATTGGGATTAAAGTTTGTATATTTTTTATTAAGTTTGAAAGTCAAAGCTGTAAACTAGAAATGTAAACATATTTGGACTATCCGAAATGAAAATAGTGAGATAACATTGTCCTGAAAAAAGGAGTAGGAGTTCCATATCGATAGCAGCGCGACTGAACCCATGTTAAGGTTTATGAATTGTGTTAAAATGTTTTTTTTTTTTCGTACTGAATGTTCTCTTTCTAGATCCAGAGGAAGCATGGTTGTGTTTTATTTTATTATTGGTCTTCCTTTTTACAGTACCTTGTGTTAAGATGTTCTGTAAGGAAATTGTGGAAAAACACAATCTGCTGTAAATCTGATTCTAGCTTTTGCAGGTCAGACGGGGGGTGGGGGGTGGGTTGGGAGGGAGAACCAGACAAAGCCGACTTTTCAAAGTTTTATTATTCATTTTTAAACTTTGAAATAAAACTTTTAATTTCATCTCTTCGCTTTTTTAAACTTTTTGGACTCTGAGAATCATATGTAAAGTATACTATAAATATAAATACGTGCGTATTTTCACGACCATAAGGCACACCGTACTAAAAGGCGCAGTCTCAGTTATGTGTGCCATTACTGTATTTAACACACACGTAAGGCGCACCGGATTATAGGGCGCGGGTTTTATATACCGGTACATATCCTCTACTACGTTTAAATACCTCTACTGCTTACTTAAAAATAGATGCTTTATTCATGTATTTATTACAAAGTCTTAATCAAACCTGGGAGCTGGCCGTGAGAGACACGTCTCTGATGACACAGAGCACTGTGATCACTCCTCTGAAACAGTTTATTGACACATAAATTAACTTAAAACGCAGAGATCTGCCAGCAGAATATGTTCGCTTTTATTATCCTGGTGCCTGCAGTTTAGATTGTACCAGTTAGTTCTGACGAGCGGCTGAAGCAGCTTCGCTGCTCTGGCTGCACGGTGCAAAAGTGGGTCTGACGAGCGTAGGGCGGAGCTACTCTATCCTTTCTTTGCCTTGCAACTATATTTGCTGTGATCAGTGGGAATAAAGTAGTTTTAATATGTTTTTAAGTGGGAAAATCCACCTGAAAACTTAATTCAACAGCAGCCTCTGGTCGGGTCGCCTCCTCGCGGTTCACCGCGGCAGCTGGTAGGTGTTTTTCATCAAAATAATCCAAATAATCTCCTCTGCATAAAGGAGTTCTGCATAAAGCACATACCTGTTCTTTAATACACAATCCATGCCCACACTTCCCCCTTTAACGTTCTCATGGTGGTTTCAAACGTCCGCAGTAACAACACACATAGGGCGCACCGCACATTTTAAGGGAAAAAAAAGATGTTTATATGCGCCTTATAGTCGTGAAAATATGGTCGTTTTTATACTATATGGATTTTGTTTTCCAAGCTTGAAGATGTTTTTGGAACGACAATTACCTGAATGACTGAGAATCTTAACCAGTGGATCAATTTTAAGCATGTCTGCAATATTTTATCCAGCAAAGATTAAACTTTGAAATGTGACGTAGAGAGAAGGCTGCTTGACTTTACAGATCCAGAGGTTTCTGGGTTTTTTCCTTAAAAGAGAAAATATCCCTGACAATCATCTCTGACCTCGTCTAGAGAATTAGATCACGATAGTTTTTTTTTTTTTTTATTAGAAGCTGCGATTCCAGCATCGAGTCTTTCTTTAGCTGCCGGTGGCCCCCTCTGAAAGGTCCACGAGGAAGGAGGATTTTATTCCCCCATGTGTGTATTTAGGCAGGCAGCAGGTCAGCGCCGACCTGCAAGTAGACCCAATCCATCACTGACAGCAGCACTGTGGTCCTAACTGAGGCACAAGAACACAGGAACCGTTTCACTTCTGTAAACTAAATCTATACAGTTTAATCCTGTTTCAATCTTTTATGTAGCATTATATTTTGTTTCATTCACCTGGAAACAAATGAAAAATTTAGATATAAGAAAGCTGCAATATTTTCATCTAGTTTTAGCATCCAGAGATCCTTTAGCATGAGTCTTTTTTTAAATCACCACAGACTCTCAGACTCTTTTTTTTATTTTGAAATGTTATCTTAAGCTCTTCTGGGTGTGTGCTGAAAATTTATCATCTTCCTCGTTCTTGAAAAGTGTCCAAACTGATTGATCTTAGAATAGGTAATGCCACAGCATGTTGCTGCCAGCACCATGTTTACCTGATAGTTATGGTATTTGGCTGCTGATGAGTTTGGTTTCAATGAAACAGAACTCAATCTTTCTTAAGGTTCTGGTGTTTTTTAGCCAGGCCTGTTCTGCAGCTTAGCAAAAACAATCACTCATAGTTTGATCTTTATAAAACTGCAATAATAAGGTGGTTATTTTCTAAAGAGGTGTGAAGTAAATCTAAAACTCCTTGAAAAATAGTACATGGAAAAACAAGAATCCTTTAGTATTCTGTAGTATGGAGGTGGACCTCCATCTCCGATGCACTAGTTCTCTTAGTGGTCCAGGATAAAACGCTGATGATGGCAGAGTCATTGCTCAGTCACAAAGCACAAATTGATGCAGCCAGCAGGAACAAAACCATGACTGAGAGTACTCTACAGCATGTAAGGAATGCTATTAATGGGTCAGAGGCCCGTGTTCACAAAAACAGGGCTTATTTGCAGGCACTTTGCTCACATGCTTTAGGTTACATAACGTAGGAGCTTACCATCAAATTGCAAGATTCCTGATGTGGATAAAAAGAAATGAATATCTGACCATGCAGCGCTCAGAGAGCCTCTCCTCTGGACTATAAATACTCTGCAGACTCCCACGTTGAAACCCAGAGTGAGATGGTTCACATTTTCTCCCATGCATCCTGTAGGCTCAGCTTTATTTGGAGAGTTTCGGCCCTTCGCATTTTGCTGTTGCACAACATGACACGTCTAATAATCTATCAGGCTGCTTTCCACACATCTGCTGACCTGTTTAAGAGCTCCCAGATTTCAGAGTAGCAGGGTGTGTGTGTGTGTGTGTGTGTGTGGGGGGGGGGGGGTGCAGTAGGGGGATGTGTGTGTCCATCACCAGTTGTAAAATGAGGAGACTTTGCTTGTCCTCACAAGGTATTTTGCTATTGGTTAGGTTTAGGGTCAGTTTTAGGGTTGGGGCATAGAAAGGGTTGAAAATGACTGAAATCAATGGGAGTCAACACATGGTCCTCACGACGATGGCAAAATGAGTATGTGTGTGTGTGTCTGTGTAAGGGAATGCTGTGAGATAACCTTCAGTGTAGCAGCATCACTGGCCTCTTTCTACACAGATTGCGTTGCTAAGGGAACTGTTGCTAGGATGGCAGTCGCCACTCTTTCACCTTCTTCATTCTTCCTTCTCCATCTTTTCTCCATTATCTGAGCGTCTATTCAGCTTTATCCTGGTTCCAATTACACAGTGAATGAGGCACCCTTGCTGCAATCACCTCAAGTCATAAAAGCAAACTTAACCTTTAGGGTTGAAGGCCTCAGCGGGAGCTCTCAAAGGGCACAGGCCTCGGCCATGATCGCTGCAGGTTATCAGAGATGGAATGGACCACTTCATTGCGTGTGAGTTCCAAACTCCGCATCTTAGCAGGGGGGAGATTAGGAAGGAGCGTATTCAGAGTCCAGGAAAAGATGTCAGCTGTGGAAGCTTACAGCTGAGTCAGACTTAACAGGCTTCCTTTCCTGTTGGAGGGATCCTGCTCTGAAGAAGCTGCTGCATCACCTCATGGAGGATTCCTCACAAACGCAGCTGCAGCTGGAACAGTCGAGGCTCCGCAGCCATAGCTGCTGTTGGTTCACATCACATGCACTGGGATATATGTGCAGGATGGTTATGGTTTTATCTTTTCTGTCACTGATGATGATCCTTTAAGGATTTGTTAGGAAGATTTAAATATGCAGCCTTAGAAGATAGAAACAATCCCAGAACTTCTGAAGGAAAATGCATTTAAATAAATTAGAATACGTGCAAAATACATCAGTGATTTGGCTGATAGAGAGAAACTCATACTCTGCGTAGATCTACCTTTATCTGGGTTTATTTTCAAGATCTCTGGTTACAGATGAAGAAAACCTCAAAACTTAGTTTTAAAGAAATCTAGGAGACATAAGAGCAATAAATACTGATTTATAATACAGAAATGTGGGCTTACTGAAGTGTTCTTAAAGAGTGAGCACCTTGTAGGTGATTGAGACTCGTTCTACTTGACTTCCTGCATTAATCCAGAATGTCATGGAAACGGTGAGCCTGTGGCGCTGCTGATGTGCCAAGAAGGCACAGGTTAGTTCTCAGCCTCCTCAAGGTTGCTTCTGTTTAACCTCTTCTTCCTTCCACTCAATTTTCTATGAGTATGATTAGAAAGGGACTCTGTGAACAGCTCCCTTCTGTATGACTGCGAAGGTCATAACATGGCATTTCTGTAGTATTATGTGGTAGTAGTGGCCTGGTGGTTGTGCGATTTTTTTCAATCGTTGCACGCAGCTACAGCTCCCAATGTACGATGAAACCGATTTTCTCCCGACCTCGTGATTCAGTGTATTCTCATTATGAGTTCGTATGAAATCGTACGAAAAGTTATTCACCGTAATTTCGTAAGTTTTTGACGTTTTTTTTCGTCGCATTTCGTCGTATTTTTACGTCTTGCCTCGAGACAAGATATCCTTACGCATGCGCATCTTACGCACCATTCAATAACAGAATTTAACATAAAATTAACCCTAACCCTAAGATACAAAAGAGCAAGCAACATAGTTAGAGACATGAAGAAGTAATTATTGCACTGTTTTTTCCAGTTTTACGTCCGTCCGCGGATCTGCTTTTTTCGTCTGTCTGCCTGCGCATGCGCACTGATCTGTTTTTTCAAGGAAAAACTTCAAAAACGTACGAAATACTGTGCATAACTTTTCGTACGATTTCATACGAACTGATAATGAGAATATGTTGCATGATTCCTGATCAGGAGGTGGTCGTGAGAGGCTGATCGCCACTCGTTACCCCCTGTACACTACACGACTCACAACGAACGATCAGGCTGAAACTCAGGCCGATCGAGAAATTCTCCCACGACTGGAATGTCGGCCCGAAAAGGGCAGAAAATCGCACAGTGTAAGCCTGGTTTAGGGAAAAGTGCTTGAGTTCTGCGAAGGCTACAAGTACAACATATTCTCATTATCAGTTCGTATGAAATCGTATGAAAAGTTATGTACAGTATTTCATACTTTTTTGACGTTTTTCTTCGAAAAAACATATCAGTGCGCATGCGCAGCCAGACAGACGAAAAAAGCAGATGGGCGGACGGACGTAAAACTGGGACGGACAGTGCAATAATTACTTCATGATGTCTCTCACTAGGTTGCTTGCTGTTTTGTGTCAGGGTTAGGGTCAGGGTTAATTGTATGTTATTGAATGGTGCGTAAGATGCGCACGGATATCTTGTCTCAAGGCAAGATGTAAAAACACGACGAAAAAAACGTCAAAAACGTACGAAATACTGTGCATAACTTTTCGTACGATTTCATACCAACTGATAATGAGAATACACTGACAAGTACCCAGGTCGAACCCCACAATCTGCCCTTTTGGGTCCCTGGTTGCTTCCAGGAATGAGTTAAAAGCAGAGATCAACTTTCATTAAATTGTACATTTGCATGGATCAATAAAGTTCATTGTCCTGATCAATATTCTCGTTTTTCAGTCATTGGTGTATTTATTTCAGAGTAACTCGTTTTGTGTTTTCATTAGCTCTAAGGCTAAACGGAAGTCATGAAAAGTTAGAATTATATTATAGAATTAGGTTACAGAATGCTTGATGAATGAGTTGGACACCTGGTTGCACTCTGCTCTACAAATTTAGGCCCATCATATATTTGTTAGAGATTTTAGCAAGGGAAAACACAACAGACCCTGAAACGCATCCCTGGGGCACACCAGATGGTTTTAATGATTCTGATTGATAATGAAATAATAATAAACATAATTCTACGGGTTTAAATTGCATTACGTGTTATCTCATCATTTTTGTTCTGTTTTTAGGTAGATGTTGTCATTTAAAGATTTTATTTTATTTAGTTGTTGCAGAAAAAACAATAAAAAAAAAAAAAACACACACAACATAAGTGTTTGCAGCTTTATCTCGGTCATCTGATCCGGCGAGCAGACGGAGACACTTTTTAAGAAGTCACTAGATTAGTGCGGTCACCCACTCCCACTCCCACTCCGTGTCTGCTGCTGTGGGTTTGTCATTGCGGAGCTCTCAGCGCCGCTTTCTCCTCCGCCCCTTTCGCCTCTTGCACCGCGGCGAGCCGCAGCCTTGTCCCCGCCTCGCCATGAGCTGTCAGCCGCCTCCACCTCCGCACTGATGTCGCGTCTCCTGGAAGGCGCCGCTCTGCCGCACCGCGCGGCTCCACCGCAGCAGCGACAGGAGCGGAAGCGGTAACCGCGCCTCAGACGCAGCGCCTGTTATTTTATTTTTTTCCCACTTTTTCATTTTTATATATATTTTTATTTATTTCGGGGTTCGCCTCTTTCCCGGAGGATGCTGTTGCCGGGCTACCGGAGCTGCCGCCGCAGGGTTTGATAGAAACAGCGGCCGAGCAGAGGAGGAGGAGGCGGTGGGGGGGTGGGGGCCACCCTGCCCTGCCCCGGCCGGACTAGCTCTCCTCCAGCAGCATGAACCTCCACTCGGGCAGGGCGTCCGTGGCCATGCTGCGGATGATGGGCTGTGCTAACGGGCGCTCTGCTCGGCATCTCCTCCACAGTGACTGCGTGGTGGACGAGAAGACGGTGGTTCTGCAGAAGAAGGAGAATGAGGGCTTCGGCTTCGTGCTGCGTGGGGCTAAAGGTAAGAACATCCACTCACTTTGAGTCATTCTTCCTTTTTTAATTTTCCGCTTCTCTGCAGACATCAGCTGTGACGTGAAGCCCTGACCTCTTGATGCATGTTTGTTTGTGGTGACAGATTGTGTTCACTAAATAAAACCGCAGCAGCCACATTTCCACCAACAAATAGAGAAAACCAGCCTGCAGGAATCATAAAAGCGCATAATTAGGTTTCTCTTTTTGCAGAGTTTATGCCTCTGATTGCCTTCCAATAACATGATCCCACAGCCTGAATGTGAGCCACATGTTTACTCCTCATCAGCTGGATGTGTTGATATGTTGGACCAGAACACCATCACATCAGCAGGGAGCAGTTAGCGTTTTTGACCTGAGGTCTGCAAACAGAACAGACCTGCAGAAATCTCCTGGATGTTTGCTCTGTTTATGACAGGATGCATTAAATAAATAGCACTGTGTCTTCCAGCTTTTTATACCAACAAATAACGTTAACGGGGCAGCGTGCTTCAGCTGTGACATCAGGGCACTGACCTGCAGAAATAATCTTTGCATCAGAAAAATTAGCCTTTCTGAACAAACTCTTTTATCTAAAGGTTTAATGAAGGTTTTATATAATCTGGGTTCATTCATGATTATTAAAGCTGTAAAGTTTTTGCTTAATAATCACAAACAAGTGCATGTATGAAATCAGTTCATCTTTTGTAAAAGAAATCCCAAGCGAGGTCACAAGGGGAGCTGGTTTCTATCTCCAGCTGTTTACAGGTGAGGCGGGGTCCATCCTGGACAGGTTTCCAGTCCTTCACATGGACACACAGAGACTAACAACCATTCACACACAGACACTCACGCCTAAGGAGAATTTAGTGAAGCCAATTAACCTAACAGACATGTTTTTGGACTGTGGGAGGAAGCCGGAGTACCCAGAGAGAACCCATGCATGCTCGGAGAACATGCAAATTCCATGCAGAAAGACCCCGCAACCTTCTTGCTAAGTGCTACCCACATCACATCCTCCTGTAATTCATACATAGTTTCAAAAGATCTAAACTTCAACAATAAGACATGCATAACAGATCACGTCGTGTCTGTTTTACTTATTAAACAACTGGAGAAGAAATAGGAGATGTAATAATCTGCAGTAATGTTTCATCCTCCTTCCATTCAAAACCTGCTGGTCAATAATATGTTTTCTCATTTGCATTGACTTTTTTATTCCCATACCTGTCATAGATCTGAATGACCAAGATGCTAAAGTTCAGAGAGAGTCATTGAGGGTCAGAGTCACTGAGCTTTCAGGTTCGCCAACAAACGAGGAGAACGTTGCTGTGTTGTGCTTTTATAATATAATTCAGTCAGACAGTGCAGATTGTATTTAACATATGGACCTAGGTCATTTAAGAGATAAAGGGAATAATGATGCTGGTATGGGTATCAGTTATCAGCCGGAGCAGCAATAATAGCATCTATCCAAAGGTTTAAATCGGTTCCTCTCTAAACCAGACCCGATGTGAGCTCATGGATCTAAACAGACAAGAGCTGGTTCTGTTTTAAACTCCTCTGGACCGAGTCTTTCAGTTGAGTCCCCTGTATCGCGGCGGCCGCCCTCCTCTCTGCGCCCCCCCAGCTCAGCGTTGCTTGTTGTGGTACGAGTGGCACATTCAGGCAGGCGGTGAGATCGCTTCTAAAAATAGCCGTTTGGAGATGCTGCTGCTTCGATTTCTACGACGATTCCTGCCGTGTCATAATCCACATAATTCCACTGCCGCATGGTGTCGTTGGATTGGTCGCCACCGCCCTTTCGTGTGATTTCAAGACGTTGTTTTGTTTTTTTTATTTATTTATTTTTTATTGAGGAGGCAGAGATGGAGGGATTCGTCTCAGGGAAACAAGAGGAATGTTGCCTTCTCTGTGACACACAGTGACTTTTACCCCAGAGGAACGGAGCCAGCCGAGCTCTTCCTGTGCTGGGGGGCGAACATGAACACACAAACATACCCTGATGCTGAAGCTGTCACATAAGCTCACATCCTCTTCCTCGCTCTGCATTTCTGCTCTGCCTCCCTCCCTCCTTCCCTCTCCTCCCCTCAGTCTCTCTCTCTCACATCCAGAAACATCCCAGTGGTGTTGAGAACCTCCCATGAGATCTTGGGATGTGCTCGTGGTCTGTGTCTCCCAGTAAGGCTGTGAGTTATAGGAAGTGTCAGTTGTCACCACTGGTTTCTCCCGGCCGCTGGATTCTTTAACCTCCCCGAGAGCAAGCGAAGAGGTAGGGGGGGGCGTTCTGCGAACATTAATGCGGAGAACGGTTCTACCCTGCAGGATGGATGGTGCTAGAAAAACCAGGCCCTTAACTTTTTAAGCGACAGAAGGGAATGTTTGCTGCAAAGTTTCATGAAGGGATCTGTGAGACGATGCTGGAGGCTGCAGATGTCAGGGATGGGGTCAGTTTAGGGCTGAAACAATTCATCCAAATAATCAGGATTAATCGATTATTTAAATAATCATCAACTAATTTAGTGATAAGTTAATCTGTTAACTGGAATTTAGAGACTGTAAAACATGCCTTTAGCTGACAGAGCGACCCTTTTAGAGCAGGAGTTATATCAAAATGAAAAAAATATACAAACATTTTGCATTTAAGATAAAAAAAAAATCTTTTTCTCCTGTCATTCTGCTCTATGTAGAACTTTTCTAGTGGAAATGCTTTAGCTTCACCTGGTTTCATTTTGTAAAAAAAATCTTCTTTAAGGAACATTTAACTATCTGATTATTAATCAGTTAATTGGAAGAATAATCAACAGATTGATCAATTTGCTAAATAATCATTAGTTGCAGTCCTAATTCACTTATAAGGCTGGTCCTGATCAGTTGGGGACCAGGTGATGTTGAAATTTGTTCTTAGAAGTTCTGCTTGGTGTTTAATTCAAACATGATCGGCTGTTTAAAGGCATCAGCACAGCCTGAGGTCAATCATCCAGTTTAAAAAAAAGACATCCTGTGTTTTTCTGCCTGCAACAAAGTTGTTAAAATATAAATCTGACTTTTTAGAAAAGAACAAAATGAACATAATGATAATGGTTTATATCCACGTAGGAACCCATTTTGAACCTCGCTCTGTTTACTTGTTACAAGGCTTTTTTTTGTTTTGTTTTTTGAAGAAAGGTCAATGAGTTACTTCTTTTGATTTTCCCTTAGGATTAATAAAGTTCTTTTGAAATGAATTCTGAAAGGTTCAGCAGAGAAGTTACTGCCTGCTATGCTGGAACATTACAATGTCCAAATATTGGATTTCTTTCTGTTGCATTTGCTACTGCTAACAAAATAGTTGGATTTATCCATCATGATTTAGTTAATCTTTTCATTTTTAAAGCATAATCATGTCTTAGAGAGAAGGATTGGTCATTAGAAACAAGTTGGAATGAAAGGAGCCAAAAAAAAGCTGATGTTTGTATCCCAGACTTATTTTGCTGGTTTTATCCTTCTCCTGCAGCTTCTAGAGGCTTTCCTGAAGCCTAGATACACTCCTGATCAAAATCTTGAGTCTAGTCAAAAAATTGCTAGAATTTGCATTTTGCACTATTTGATCTAAAGAAGGTTCTAAGTAGAGCTTCACAATGTTAAAAGAAGAAATCAGGCTACTGGGAACGTTGCTCCAAGTGTTGAAGATGGCTTCATGAAGGGCATCCACTGTCTGGAACTGATGTCCATTTTTGTAAACTTCCCTTGTCATCCATCCCCAAATGTTCTCAATCGGGTTTAGATCCGGAGAACATGCAGGATGGTCCAAAAGAGTGATGTTATTCTCTTGGAAGAACTCCTTTGTCAGGCGGGCATTGTGAACTGCAGCATTGTCCTGTTGAAAAACCCAATCATTACCACACAGACGAGGGCCCTCAGTCATGGGGAAACCCATCTCCACATAGCCAGCTGCTGTTTGATGCCCCGGCACAACCTGAAGCTCCATTGTTCCATTAAAGGAAAACGCACCCCAAATCATGATGGCGCCCCCACCACTGTGCCATGTAGAAAACATCTCAGGTGGGATCTCCTTGTCATGCCAGTAACGTTGGAAGCCATCAGGACCATCAAGGTTAAATTTTTCTCATCAGAGAAGACAACTTTCTACCACCTTTCAATGTCCCATGTTTGGTGCGCCCTTGCAAATTCCAAATGGGCAATTTTGTGACGTTGAAGAAGACGTGGCCTTTGAAGAGGTTTTTTGTTTCTGGAGCCCTTCCCTCGCAGATGCCGTCTGATGGTTATTGTGCTGCAGTCAGCACCAGTAATGGCCTTAATTTGGGTAGAGGATCGTCCTGTGTCTTGACGGACAGCCAATCGGATCATGCGGCTCAGAGCTGGGGACATTTTTTTGGGTCTACCACTTGACTTTTTTGTTCCATAACCCTCAGGATCATTTAAAAAATGCAAAATGACTGTCTTACTGCGTCCAACCTCAGCAGCGATCGCATTTGCTTGGCCTTGCTTATGCAGCTCAACAATCCTACCAAGTTCAAAGTCAGTGAGCTTTTTTGCTTTTGCCATCAGGAGATCTTGCCCGTGTAAAGACTTGACAGAAAATGACATGGAATCCAGATTTTTGTACAGCTTTTGGCTTTTAAAGACTATGGTAATAAACTTTTGATCAGCTGAAAAAATAATGTTTGAGTGTAAATGCAGTTTTCAGAAAATTCCCTGCTCAAAACTTCTTGTCTCTTGCACTGATTTTTTCCTTTAACGTTGTAAAGCTCTACTTTGAACCTTTAGATCCAATAGTGCAAAATGCAAATTCTTGCAATTTTTTGATTGGTCTTAAGATTTTGATCAGGAGTGTATACCCTCATCAGAATTAAGCCCACTCCATCCCTGTGGTTCGGATCTACAATCATTTGCGTGTATTTCACTGCTATTGCTGTAGTTTTTTATACCTCTCTGTTTCCTTTTCCCAGTCTGGATTTAACTATCATTCTGGATTAAATAAACTCCTGACCATTACGTCTGTCCCTTTGTGCTGCAGCCGATACTCCCATCGAGGAGTTCACCCCCACGCCGGCCTTCCCGGCCCTGCAGTACCTGGAGTCGGTGGATGAAGGCGGAGTGGCCTGGCAGGCGGGGCTCCGGACGGGGGACTTCCTCATCGAGGTAAGGGCTGCTTTCAGGAGGCGCTGCTGCCTTTACTTTTACTGTTTTTACTGCGTTTGCTTTGCTGAGAAACTGTTGGATTTGTGTTTAAATCCAAACTGCTTTGTGGTGTCCTTTGGAATTAGAAATAAGCTTCCCGAAAAAAGGATTTTCTGGTGATGATTTGCAGCTTCTGAGCGTTAATCTGAAAGGGTTTGGCTGTTTCTGTGCGTTCAGTCTGTCTAACTGTGACTCCTGCAGCTTTTCAAATGGTCACTGTTAGAATATGTGCTGGGAGGAAGATGACCTGCTGACTGTCCTCAGAGATCATCCATGGTCTGCGGTCTGTTGTTCCGTCCCTGGAAATGTGGAATTATTCACATCAGATTGCCTATATAAATCCTTAGAGTCACTGGGCACAGACGACTGATGAAACAGAAAGGATTTTAATACATTATGTTCTCAGGAAATACATTATTAACCTTTAGCATATTATAATTTAGTACGCTTACTGTTTTTAGGGAGGGAAAAATGTAATTCAGGTTTATTTCACAAAATAAAAACAAGGGCGACCCGGATGTATATCTGGATGCACAGATGAGCTGATGGTACGGACCGGGTCGTGAAAAACTGTCACCAGTGCTGCTAGCTGCAACCACTGATCTCTGTTTACTCACTGGATTGCTGATTGGCCATGGGGATTACACGGTGCTGTGAAGTCACCAGCCGCCATATTGGTACTCCCTAGTTAGACCGGCCGGAATGTAAAAAATACATGCACTACAAAATCAAACAAAGATGATCTTCTCATTTTCAGGGGGACTTAAGAGTTAAAAAATAAAGATAAATTCATCACTTTGACACACTTGCTGTTTCATAGCATCAGTAGATTACTGTGACTTATGGTAAAAAAATAGGCACATCAGATTGCATTGTCATTATGAAGCAATGCAGTTATAAATCATGTCATATAACATATTATATAAATCAATCTCTACAAAATTAATGTGTGAAAGGAGCATAATAATACTGTATTTAGATATTAAGAATATTACATACACACACACTATCTGATGATGCGCCAAATGTGCTAAATTGATGATGTACATGTAATAAAAATGTTTTGATTACATTGTTATGGTAATAACATTACATTACAGGTATTTTTATGGCACTTTCCATGAAAGTGGAGAGTACCAAGATGGCGGGAGGTGAATCCAGTTTTTTCGGCCTATCATAATGAATTTCTTAATATGTGTAGCCGTGTGTGAAGTACCGCTGGCTATGATGGCGAGTTTTTGTTTTATTTGGCAAAATATTTATTTGATTTGTGTTTATTATTCCCCCAACAAATGAAAAAACGTCATAATTTATTATTATCTAGAGACTATTAATAAGAGGATCTGAAATGCAGCTCCAGACGAGCCGAGGGTGTGATGACATCACAAGTACTCTTCTGTTCCAATTGACCCATATTTATGCTGCGTGCTCCCATTCTCACCAAGTCCACACTATCCTGTGTTCTTCTCAAGAACATACTTGGCGAAGAAACGAGTCCATACTTGCATTCTTCTCTTTTTGGGGGGCTGCAAACCATGTATTACCGCCACCTAATGGGCTGGATTACCGTAAAAATGTGACCAGAATGAAGTTGCTCTGCGATTTAGAAACTGCTTTTTGTTAAATTTTGATTAGATTGCAAATGCATTTAGTTTCTCTAAGGTTCTGATTTCAGCCGGAAAACAGAATGAAAAATAATGCTGTGATATTTTTGAATGTTATATCTATCTTTGGGATATTTGAATCTGTGTGTTTTCACCTTCAGCACTTTCTAAATGTTTGAATGAGAGAAAACTTCGAAAGCTTAGTTATGGTGGTTCTTATTGTTGATGGCGCTCATTTTCTCAGTGGCGTCTCCTACTGTCTGTGAAAGGAACACATTTGAATTCACCCTGATTATGTGGATTTACTTTGGTTTCCTAAGAAATATCTAACCGTGTTAAATTTGCTTCTACTTTTACTGTTAATGTTGGACTTAAGCTTTGAGGAAACAAAAGTTGGGCATCAAACTCTGATCTAAAGGAACATTTCTAGTTAGCTCTGTGTCGTATGTTTGATTACTCATAATCTAAACTTTATTCTGTGAAAGATTTTGTATTTTATTCTAAAAAATAATAATATTTTTATATTATCTAAGTGACTCTAAATCTGCTTCGTACATAAAAATAAATTTTTTGGGGAGAAAATCAGATGTTTTGTTTTTCATAAATTAGGAATTAGCTGATTTGGTGGAAAGCTGCAGAGCTCAGCTGCTGTGTTGCACAGAGGCTGATTGTTTCATTAGTTTAGATCCAGGTGGAGTTATGATGCACAACCATCTTATGTTAATCTAGAATAATTCTTCCATCATTGTGTATCTTTGTTAATTTGAATAATTTTCTGTTTATTCTGAGTGGATTCTGGCTGAGGAGAATTGAAAGGGGCTAAATTAATGCTGCAGATTCAAATATGGAGACGGTAACAACATATTAATGGAGCAAAATCCTACAGTGACAACATGAAGTCAACTAAAAGTTCTCAAAAAGCGTATTTAAAGAAACTAAAGTGAAAAAAGTCTCTCCTGCACAATCAACCTGACAATATATTTATTGTACACTCACCGGCCACTTTATTAGGTACACCTGTCCAACTGCTCCTTAACACTTAATTTCTAAGCAGCCAATCACATGGCGGCAACTGAGTGCATTTAGGCATGTAGACATGGTCAAGACAATCTCCTGCAGTTCAAACCGAGCATCAGTATGGGGTAGAAAGGTGATTTGAGTGACTTTGAACGTGGCATGATTGTTGGTGCCAGAAGGGCTGGTCTGAGTATTTCAGAAACTGCTGATCTACTGGGATTTTCACACACAACCATCTCTAGGGTTTACAGAGAATGGTCCAAAAAAGAAAAAACATCCAGTGAGCGGCAGTTCTGTGGGTGGAAATGCCTTGTTGATGCCAGAGGTCAGAGGAGAACGGCCAGACTGGTTCAAGCTGATAGAAGGGCAACAATGACTCAGATAACCACCCGTTACAACCAAGGTGGGCAGAAGAGCATCTCTGAACGCACAGTACGTCCAACTTTGAGGCAGATGGGCTACAGCAGCAGAAGACCACACCGGGTGCCACTCCTTTCAGCTAAGAACAGGAAACTGAGGCTACAATTTGAACAAGCTCATCGAAATTGGACAATAGAAGATTGGAAAAACGTTGCCTGGTCTGATGAGTCTCGATTTCTGCTGCAACATTCGGATGGTAGGGTCAGAATTTGGCGTCTACAACATGAAAGCATGGATCCATCCTGCCTTGTATCAACGGTTCAGGCTGGTGGTGGTGGTGTCATGGTGTGGGGAATATTTTCTTGGCACTCTTTGGGCTCCTTGGTACCAATTGAGCATCGTTGCAACGCCACAGATAACCTGAGTATTTCTGCTGACCATGTCCATCCCTTTATGACCACAATGTACCCAACTTCTGATGGCTACTTTCAGCAGGATAGTGCGCCATGTCATAAAGCTGGAATTATCTCAGACTGGTTTCTTGAACATGACAATGAGTTCACTGTACTCAAATGGCCTCCACAGTCACAAATCTGCGGCAACTGTGTGATGCCATCATGTCAATATGGACCAAACTCCCTGAGGAATGCTTCCAGCACCTTGTTGAATCTATGCCACGAAGAATTGAGGCAGTTCTGAAGGCAAAAGGGGGTCCAACCCGTTACTAGCATGGGGTACCTAATAAAGTGGCCGGTGGGTGTATATCATTGATGTTCATTAAGTCTTTCAAAAAATATCTTGTATTTGCACGTCCTATTTGGACCTGCTTCTTTCTTCTTATATGGTTTTTCATTTGACTTCTGATGAAAAGCCATATTGTCCACATATGTCATGTTGACATGAGGACTTGTGCTCATGTTAATTTATATGAACTGACCTGTTTCAAATAAATTGGTGAATTAAATGAAGAACAGGTGAGGAATAAACTCTGACCTCTGTTAGTTCAGTAAATGGATGGATGGATGGATGGATGGATGGATGGATGGATGGATGGATGGATGGATGGATGGATGGATGGATGGATGCATGGATGGATGCATGGATGGATGCATGGATGGATGCATGGATGGATTGTGTTGTGGAAGCCTCCTGATTTCTGATGTTTGCTTATATATGAACTCGTAGCTTCCTGACATCACTGTGTCATTTACTGTAAAATCTGCTCCTTCACTCCATCGATGTTTCCAAGCATTTCCTGAACTTTGACCTGAATTCTTCCACTTTCTTTTACTATAAGTTGAAATCAGAGACATTCCTGCCTGACATATGTTTAGTAACACTAAAACAAACGCTCTGCTCTTCCAGTGGCCGTGATTAACGTGCAGCGCTGTGTGGCGTAAGCAGCTTTCCTCTCTTTGCTTTTCTATCTTGTAGTGCAATAAGGATTTGTGTTGATTAAAATGACTTGGAGTAATCTTTGGAGCTGCAGAGTGTCTGATTCCAGAATGTGCTGCACAGAATGTCGAGCTGAACGCTGCTCCTGCTGCTAAACGTGAGTCAGTAACGCAGCTCTGCAGATCGTATCACAGCTGCTACGTTAGTCCGAGGAAAATCACGGCGTCTATTTCAGGCTCGCTTTTTTTTCATACAGCCGTGTGCGTGTGTGTGTGTGTGTTCCAGAGAGCAGAGCTGAACTGGAGATTGGTTTATTTTGTGCTTCTGCTAAATGGAGCATCAAATGAGGAGAAGCAGGCTGCTCTGCGTCTGCAGCTCATCCTCAGCGTGATTTAAACTCATCCTTTTCTCCTCCAGTATTTCTTTTATCCTAAATATCTTTTTAATCATTGATTGGATCTGCCTCAGAATGAGGTGAAATTTGCTGATATGATGTAGGACCCGACATGCTTCCAAAACGTTTAAAAAGATCTGACAAGGTTGGTAGCTCTCACAGCTGCACAGCCTGCAGCTTGTTAGCCATCC